TAAAAACAAAACATGCAAAGCATTACAGGAAAGTGCTAAGTCACTGAGAGCATCTGCAGATATATCACCTATAAGGTAACATTTAACCATATTAAAAAGACCTTTGATAGCAGCAGCCAAGTTAAAATAAGTTGAGTCTTCTAGAGAAGTCAAGGGAAATATTGGAATTGATATTCAGATCTAATTGGTTATAGGATTTTTCTAATTAGAATAAATGTACTCTTTTACAAAGTAGAATATCTCCTTATTTTTAATATAAACATACTACTGCTATATGAATGTTTCATTTTTAATTTAATATTGAAGAACTAAAGATTATCTAATGATTCATTTTCCTTTTCTCACATTCATGGGCTATAGCATGTGTATATTCTCCTCATTCCTTCCCTTGGGTGAATCCTAAGTAATCCAAATCTTTTGTCTCGTGTTTTTGACAACCATTTGTTCTTACAATTTTCATTTCTCTGGAAATACCAACACCCAACTCAAAGTACAGATGGCCTAGAAGAATCAGTATGTCACTTGACTTATTTCATTTAACAATGTAGTTCTGAAGTTTAAATTGCATCAACACATGCTCTCTAGTATTAGAGCCTTCAACTAGTGAGAAGCAATAAAATAAAACTCAAAACATAATGAATCAGCACTAAAGGGAAAATACTGAAATTATATATTATTTGTCTTTATTCTATTGAATCTGATAAGCTTATGAGTGAAATGGTTTCTATGAAAGACATAAACCTATTGTGATTAATATTTAAAATGAGAGTACAGTTTCATTTGAATAAAAAATAAACTTATAGACATCCCCAGGTTATGGTCCTGTTACAGGAACATCTGTACAAACCTACCTCAGATGTAGGGAGAGGAAGTATTCAAGAAAATCTTTTGAATATCAGTTGATATGTCTGCCCCCTAGGGGACTTAAGGGTTCTTAACTTTTAAATATTATAAGCAAAAATACCTACGAATTCAACTTACAAGAACTATGGAAATCTTCCTCAACACACACACACACACACACACACACACACACACACACACACACACACATTATTCTTCATTACATGAAATGTGCAAGCAAGAAATAAAAGTGTGGAACTGAAAACATGCCTGGAATTCAAAGGAGAGAACTCTCATAGAAGACATGAATTGATGTCTTACATAGTTTTGACATCACAGAACAAATAAAATGACATGTAATAAAATTTTCAAATATTTAAATACAAAATAAAAATAGGAAAACCAAGAGATTAAAAAATATTCAACTATCTAAAGATATTGAGAGGAAATGACCAAATTCCTATATTTGTCTAGAGAGAGAATTTTTTCTTCTGGGTGGAAGTAGCTATAATGACACTGGGATGACACATTTTTCTCTAATAAGTAAATAACAATTTTCCTGTATGGTCATCAGTCTGGAGTGAGTAAATAAAGTACCGCCTGTTATCAACCAATTCATTCACCCAGAATAAAATACTGAACTGTGTTTAAATGTTCTCTTTCAACAAGGAAGGACCATTACTGAGCTCAAGCTCAGGATGAATTCACAACATTTATTTTCATATTAGTTTTTTTTTTACATTGTGTGCTTTGATTTATACTTTTGAGAGGTATTATTTGAGGATGAGAAGTAGTTAGAAAAGAATGGAAATGATCCAGCTATAAGGTCATTATAAAATTAATCCTTGAATTACTTTAAAGTTGCTAGAAACTATAACAATCTACTTGAAATTTTCTCAAATTTCCCTGCATATTAAAGTCTCTGTCTCTCTGTCTCTATTTCTGTCTCTTTCTCTCTCTCATGCACACATGCACACACACACACGCACACAGAGAGAGAGATACATAGAAATGTGTCAAAATATAGAGACTTTGAATAAATTATACTGCACAAATATTCACAAGTACTACATGTCATCACTTAAATTCTACTCTAGTGCCTCTTCAAAATATAAAGTAATCTGAAGAACTGGCCATTATTAGAATAATGTGATCAATTCTGTCAGTAAAACTACATAAAACAGCCTACCTTGAGAATTTATAAAAGTGACTCAGTAAGGGCACAACTTCACTTTAAACTTCATAGTTGCAGTCTTTGAAATAATGTTCAAATCCTTTAACTAAAGTCCATAAAATTTAAAGGCTTTATTTATGTTCATACATACAACATATCTATGTATAAGAAAGAGAACTGAATACATAGACCCAGTCAGCTTTATATAATTCACCATTAAAAATGAGGGAAAAAATCTTAATAATAGAATTGAACTTAGTTAAGTATATTCAAAATGTTAATAATTAAGGAAAATGAAACACTGAGAGGAGTGACAATACTCAATATATTTACATATAACTAGGAAGAAAATCAAGTCAAACTAGGAAAAAACTTTCAAATAGTTTCCTATTTTGTCAGAAATAAGTATCTAAACATTCTTATATATTATATTCCAAAGTTACTGGGGCTAAAATATTATATTAGTGTAACTGTCATTATTGGTAAGTAGAAACAGAATAAAAAATATTAAACTTATATTTTCCATGTTACTTTTTGTCTTCTGATGACCTCTCCTGGTTGAGTTGTTCATTATCCTTGATTCAAGTAGTTAATAATATTTTATTCTACATTCAGTGTACTAACTCTCAAGGGCACATTCTGCATACTCCAACAGTAGTACACAATTTGAAACATAATTTTGGAGGTGTAAATTTGCGGATCAAGAAAGTGTGAAGTATTAGCTATATCTTCAGGAAATTATTTTACTTTTCATATTGACTTATGAAAAAAATGTCTTTTTGGAGATGGTATCTCTAATTCAACTAAAAAAAGTTACATTTATCAAGCCATTATATATGAACTATGGCAAATAAAAGTAAAAGAAATAGACATATCATGAAGGCACGTAGGCTTTCCTTTTAAGTCCAAAAATAAGGAACACTTTCAATATGTGAATAGATTAACAAATTGAATGTCAGATTTGGACTAAATGTAAAATATGAAGTATGGGTTTTTCTCAAAATAATATTCTCATTATAGTTATGTGAACTCAGATAACGAATAAGTTAGATGTCAAAGGGACTAAAACATTAGCTTTCATTCCATTTTTGACTTAGGAAGGAGTTTCCCATTTACTTATAACCACTGATGGATATAGAAAACTATATCCAAAAGCCTGAGAAAACTTAGTACGTTTGGCCCAATATAGAAAATAGATTTGAAATATTCCAAATCATAATTAGCTGATGTTTGGAAAAATCCCACAATGTACAATTACAATTAACACTATTATCTGGATGAATGCCAGAATATGAAATAATACGAACATTTTACTTTGTAAATTGCATGAGTTTAGTGCTCTAATTTTATTTCAACAGAGAAATAGACTTTGAAAATCACACACATTCACAATTTTTGTAAAATTCTACCAAAACTTTTATAAAGTAGAAATATGTCATATTCACTTTTTAAGTTCTATTTTTTAATGAAAACTCTGCAAAACTTCTTCTCAACTTAGGCAATTAAATTGATAACTTAGTGATTACCTTAAAATATTGTATATTATCCCTGTAACAAAACCAAGTAGAAAAAAAACAACTATAGTTTTCACAAAAGGCTATATAGTCTGTGTCAATCAAAAAAGAAAATGAATTGATTCAAAACATGACATTATTATAGATTCTTCTAATGCAGTGTAATTACTCATAGAGTCCTATACTTCTCAGGATGTTCATTGTCAATCAAGAAAAATTAAAATTGGTAATCAGCATATAGACATACATAAACTTTACAAAACATTATTGTAATGTATCATCATTGAACATTACAAACATTACAGTAATAAACACAGAGAAGGTATATTAACACATTTGTATGGTAAATAGAGGAAATCAGATCAACCTTTTTTTCCAAATTAAAAAACAAAACTTTTTTAAGACCCCAGATTTCTGATTATTAATAATTCTGATTCTGTACTTTAGACACTTAAATATTTGCTGCACATAAATTTCTCTAAGTTTCCTTTAAATCTAGAAGCTTGACCCACACAATGAAATGACTGGAGCACTGAACTCTTCCTGAAACAAAAGGAGAGTCAATGCCACTTCTTTTTCGGTGCAGTATGCTCTAGCAAAGCAATGCAGAACTTGAGTTGCTGTGTTCCATTTTATTCCAATGTAATGAAAAAGATGAGCGGTCTATGTTGGCTGGCTAACCTAGAGGCATACACACAGCAGTGGCATCTACCTGAAACCCTTTCTAAGAAACTCGTGCAATATAACATTATAGATCTTAAAAAGAAAAGAAAAAAGAAAAAAAGAAAAGAAAGAAAAACTATATTCCTGCCCTGAGTTGCATGCCTGTGATGCATTGGCTTCAAGCTGTGCAAATAAGTTACAGCAATTCTAGCTAGTGTCTTTATTTTTACTATCTTCAGTCTTAACAAGAAAATCCCAAAGGGGCATCAAGTTTTATTTAGAAGAAAACTGAAGTAAAAGATGTCCTGGGTAATCTAAACTGCACTCTACAAACTTGTGTTCTGACCATATCAAAATAAATCCTTAGTAAAAATGTAAACGCCTAAATACCAACTTGCTTTGTATTTCACTTTTCTTTACATGGGCTATCAAAGCCAATTTCAATAAGCCATTGATGCATAAAAAAGCAAGGAAGTGGAGGGAGAACTTCCAAGCATCTGTCTTCCAAACTAGCGCCACTAGAACCAAGCAGGTGCAGTGAATTATTTCTCTAATGCCAGGACCAACTTTCCAGCAACATCACCACAGTCAAAACCACTTCCCCATCCAAAGCTGGAGCGCTGGGTTTTGGAGTTTCTCTGCTGCAGTGACTGCAAGTGCGTGACAGCAGAGACATGTACACAAATCAAGGAAAAAGAACGGCAGACGCACTCTGGAGTTGGTGCACAGGGTGGAATAACATCAATGCGACACAGAAACCCTTCAGGTTAAAAAACCACCAGGAAAGAAGCAACCGGGCTACTTACGGGAAGTAGAAGAAGCTGTCCAGGCTCTGCAGCTAATGCTGCTCAAAATCCAAAGGAAAAGAGCTGCCCCGAAGCCGGTTCGCGAGACCATAACCATCCTTCCCTCCTGGCTCCTTCTACTACCAGTGCTCACTGCAGAATAGCCGTGACAAAGGTCCCTCCACTTCGCTGTCTGTCTGTTTTGTTCTTGGAGGAAGGTGCGTTGCTTCCAGATAAAGGAAGGATCCAAGCCCCCTCCTCTTCGTTTCCCCGCTTCTCCTCCAGTCTCTAGTCCTCTCGGGCTCGGAGCAGTAGAGTGAGTCCCCTCTCCCTCAGTGATGGGTATTTGCCTCTTTCGCAACAAGCCGGTGTAATGTCATGAGGAAGCGATTTGTCAAAAGAAGGAGGAGGGTGGGGGGAACCCAACAAACACCCTCGTCCTTCCTCCGAAAACCACAGAAGGAAGTGGGGAGAAGAAAAAGAGGATGCAAAAGAAGAAGAAAAAAAAAAAAAAAAGAGGGGAGAGAGGGATAGTGTTGCCGCTGCCTCGGCTGCTTCTACCACTGCAGGAGAGCGCTTCTCTCTCCACTGAGCAGCGCAACCAAAAAAGGTTTCAAATAACCCCTCAGCTCAGAGATATATATGTATGCATATATATGTGATATCTGTAGTGTTCTAGCCACGTACACACATCTAAACACACAAGCTCTCTCCCTCAGGCAGACAGACACTCCCGCTTCAGCTCTCCCCTTCCCCAGGATTCCTCATTCTCCCCCCAGCAGTGGGAGCAGCAGCAGCAGTAGCTAGAGGAGGAGGAGGAAACACTGCCGCCGTCAGCAGCAGCAGTAGCAGCAGCAAGCAAAGGAGCCTGCAAACCTAAGCAAGGGGAGGAGGGGGGTGGGGTGGGAAAACCCTCCCTTCTCTCTCCTTCTCCTATCTCCTCCCCGGCTCCTCCTCCTCTTCCTCCTCCTTACTGTACCCCTCCGGTTGTCAGGACCCTTCTCTCCTCCCTTTGCCTCTCTTTGAAGCAAAAATCAGAGGAAAATGAAGCCGAAGGGCCTGAGTCCTTAGGCTTTGGGCAGGTGGAAGGATAAGGAAGCTGGCCTTCTCCAGCAAGCCTTGGAAAGCTGAGCTGTCCGTGGTGCTGAAGTTGGGAGAATCGCTTGGTAATCTTTTTTTGTTGCACTACCCCTATGCCGAATGCCCCCACCCGGCTTCGAAAAAGGAGACCCACCCCCCCCCCCCCCCCACCCCAGATGACTTCTGTTTTTCTTCTCTCCTCCCCTTCGAATAGAGATGGTACAGGCTCCCAGAGCTCCAGCCTCCTGGGAACCACAATCAGGCGTCCGACAGGCAGGCAGGTCTTCCGAGTGGTCCTAACACAGAGCTGAACATCCCAACTGGAGGAGCTAGGACTGCAGAAGTCGCTAATGCAGATGTTTTCAATATGTAATTAATTCATACTCATATACACACGCAAACATATCAAGCACATACCAATGCCCACAAAACTTCACTGAGGTAAATGTGCCCACAAATAGACACAAACACAAACCTGACATAAATAAATACACTCACACTCACACACGTTTACTCCCCAGAAAGATATCTAGATGGAAGATCTGACTCACAGCACTCTCTATGGAATTCAGGAAGACCTAGTTTTTACCATGCACAATTAACTAAATTCAGTCCTAAATCAAATATTAGCACTGCTCCCCAAAACCACACCTGGCAGCCCAGTAGCACACCCTCTATGGAAATTTTCTCTCATGCAATTTAATATTCATACAGAATTTTTCATACATATTTCTTCATACAAAACAAATTCACCTACTGGCTTTACTGACCCAGCAAAGAGTTTTTGCTCTTCTAAATATCGAAAGATGCTTGGGAGGCCTGAGTAGGAGGAACTATGCTTTTAATGTTTTACAACTGGTTAGCTTTCACTTTTAAAGAGAACTGAATTTTTTTTTGTTGTTTTTAATGGAGATTCTGTTAAGTCTTGAAACATACTTTTAGTATGGAACTATATGATTTATTTGCTTGTGCTTATGTTTAAGGTTAATGACATCTTAAGTTTAACGTATAATTAGAAAGATATTAGTAAGTCTAATGTTCCAGTTTTATTTAGTCACTTAAAAGAACTGATTTGAAGGAATGTTTTATCCCAGTGAGAACTTCAGGTTTAGGTACAGTATTGGGAATTAACTAAGAAATAGGTAAATAGCAAAACTGCATCTTCATGGCATATGATCTTACTGCTCAAAATTAATGCATTAAATGTATTGCAAGACATTCAAAATCTCTTAAAATAATATTTTCTGATTTACAATTCTGCAGTATAATAGAACGTGTTGTTAATGAAAAAGTAGAAAAATACACTGGGGGAATGGGAATGCCACTATTCATCTACAGGAGTGAAAAGGAATCTGACACAAGCAAAAAAAAAATGGAAAGTACAACTTTGCAGATTAATCAATTATTGCAATGTCTCTGCACCTTGACAAGTTCTTAAAGGGAAAAGACCAAAAAGAGTTAGTTTAAAACTATTTTTGTTGAAAGAAAAACAAAGACAAAAAGAGAGAAAAAATCATTCCTTTCTCTAACAGTCTCAGTAATGGGTACCTCAAATAATACAGATGCAATTAAGTTTCTTGAAATAGAAAACAGCAAAAGTTATGAAAACTTCTCTCTTCAGACAATTGTTTTGCAATACTAAATTATATTCTAGGGCAAATTCATTATTTAAAAATAATAAGTGGCCACTCACCCTACCTTTTTCCTAATATGGGTATATAAAGACAGGATTAGGTTAATCTAGAATTTAACTACCTTGTGTCACAAAAATCCTTTATTGTGTGATTTTGTCTAACTCTTTCAAAATCCAGGGCCTGCCATCACCTGTTTGGACCCTACCTGGTCAGGGCTGGAAATTAATAATGTCAAACACCTGTAACAAAGCAAACTTTGCTTCATGATTGTAAGAAATGGACACTGTTATCAAGACAAACCTAATAAATGTAAAGAATTAGCATATTACATAGTACAAGTTAGGCTATTCTTTAGGACACAACCTACTCCCTACCAACATCTCATCTTTCAAATAGTTATAATAATTAAATAGTACTGTATTACTTCAGTTCCAACATAATAAAGGGCAGTCAGGCACTAAGGTCAATTTATTTTGCACTGCTTTCTAGGCCATCAGCACCTGGTGAAATTGAACATGTTCTTCTACCTCCAAAGTTAAAGTGACATTAAGTACAGAGAAACATAGCAATAGTCATGCAGGAAAAAAAAATAAATGTCTACATTGTTGGATTGGTAAAGGTGTCCAATTCCTCTCTATCTAGCATAAGGTAAATGCTATGTATAAGGTCTTCCCATTTTTTTTATCTTTAAACAGAATAGGATTGGTGGTTACTCAAAGGCAGTCTCCTAATAGAAAAAAGAATCTCACAGGACCAGAGAGCAAGTTTTTGTCACCTGATAAATAATAGCCTTGGTGTGCACAGTTATTTCCTTTAAGGTGCTTTATAAATAGATAAGAAAAAAAAATTCTGAGTGCCTTCAGTAGGCCCTACTGTCAACTGAACTAACACCTAAGAGAAGTAAATAAGGCTTGCTGTGTATAAAGATGGTTATGCACATCTAGAAAAAAAATTATCATAGCAAAGCAAGTAAAAAAAAATATATGGGGATATCTATATGTCTGATGTAATAACTACTTATGTTACACTTTTTTTTTTGCTTTTTTTTTTTTTTTGGTGAGGCAATTGGGGTTAAGTGACTTGCCCAGGGTCACACAGCTAATAAGTGTCAAGTATCTGAGGCTGGATTTGAACTCAGGTCCTCATGACTCCAAAGCCAAAGCTCTATCCACTGTGCCACCTAGCTGCACCTACACTTTTTAAGTAACACAAAATTCACCTTTTAACATAGTTTATTCAGTCATGCACATGTCTAATAAGCAGAGATGATAAAGAGAATTGTTCCATATACCTAACATTTTGTCTAAAGATAAAATCTGCTATTCTCACCTCCACATTCTCATCTTTCAAAGAGGATAAGTGGCCCATAGTTGAAGATTATGATATTACAGCTCTCTGTTGGAGACATTCAAACACCTGTGTTTAGCAAGATAGTTTTAAAGGGAGTGGGAGGGACCAATGTATTAGGCATGGTATCATGTCATCTGCTGGTAGAATGATAGGAGGTAGAGCAAGGAGAGAAGGTGGGGGAGATATTTCCATTCAGTAAAAGGTAGTATTCAAACTTAGTCTTCCAACTCCAGAACACTTTCACTGTGCCATGGCACACAAGTTAGTTAAAGCAATGCTTAACAGCACTTACATCCAATATTTTCCCTGTCATACCTATAAAAGCACAATTAATAGAAAAAAATTGTAATAATATTTTAGATTTAAACTTGGAAAGTAGTTCAGAGTTGGATTAGTTCAACTCACTTATTTTACAAATGATGAAACTGAGACCCAGAAAGGTTTAGTGACTTGTTCAAGGTCACGTTTTTCCAGGATTTCATTTTTGGCATTTTGCCTACTGCCTAATCAAGGTAATTTGTGAAGGAATGGTTTTGAACAGAAGAAATATTATGATGGTTGTGGTAGTGATAATGATAATAGATAACATGGCTTAGTGCAGGGATTTTGGTGAAATCTATTGTTCCCTTTTCAGAGCAATGTCTTTAAATGCATAAAATAAAATGCATATTTAAAAAGGAAGCTAAGGGCTCCGTCTAGAGCAGTGCCTGTCCCAGCTGCCAAGATGTTGATGCCCAAGAAGAACAGAATTGCTCTCTGTGAACTCCTTTTTAAGGGGGGAGTAATGGTAGCCAAGAAGGATGCCCACATGCCAAAGCACCCTGAGCTGGCAGACAAGAATGTCTCCAATCTCCATGTCATGAAGACCACGCAGTCTCTAAAGTCTCATGGTTCGTATTAAGGAGCAGTTCCCATGGAGGCATTTCTACTGGTACTTCACCAATGAGGGCATTCAGTACCTCCAGGTTTACCTTCACCTGCTACGCTCCACAGAAGACGTTCTGAGACAGGAACATCCAAAGTTCTGGAGGACAGGATGTCCAAAGTTCTGGAGGGTGAGTGACTTGCCCAGCTTACTTGGGGTGAAACTGACAAATACACACAAATGAAATGCTGCTCCCCCTGGTGCTGACAAGAAGGCTGAGGCTGGGGCTGGGTCAGCAACAGAATTCCAATTTAGAATTGGATTTGGTCGTGGACGTGGTCAACCTCCTCAATAAAAACTGTAGAGATATAGTTCATAGTGAATAAAATTTGGGGGGAAAGGAAGCTAATTATGTTAAACTGCAGTTATTAAAATATTTTAAGAAGGCAACATCATAGACCTTGGGTTAAGAACCCT